ATGAAAAGAAAGTATAGTTCGTTTTCGTTGTTTTACTTCACTTTGGAAGTAAAAAATGTATCGAAAAATCTTAAAACTTGCATCAATATAGCATCAAGAAATTGAAACAGTACAATCTACAGAATTTTTGGATCCCTCAGGCACAACCTGCGGACCCCGGGTTGATAAACGCTGCTGTAAGCTACAGTGAGTCTTTCTGCGAGTGCGGACTAGCGGAAAGTATCTGACATTCCTCCCGTCAAGTTTGGCTGACCCATTGAACCATAACACGGAAGATCGCCTGACGGATGCTCTGTGTTGAAAACTCACAACACATTCTACGTTGTAAACTGTTCGATTTAGTAATCGAAGTGATTCAAAGCTTAGCACATTCAGACACATGCAACCGGCACGCCAAATAGCTTCCGCGACGACCGCAGTCCACATTCACCTATCCTATTTCCTTACGACGTTTTAATAATATCATACCATCTGTGTCTAGGTCTTCCGAGTGGTCTCTTCCCTTCAGGCTTTCCAATCGGACAGCCAAAAGTTTCTATGTTTTCCTCATCTTAATTTTTATGACATTTGCAAAATATCGAATAGCAAGTTTGAGAAATGCCACTTCTACACAGCATCGTAGTATTCATAACTGAAACAATCAATAAGACGTCGATTTGGTGAATTTGTTCAAATAACTCGGATTTCGGACACGAGAAGTTTTACTCAGAAACGGAAGAGATGCGAACTTTCGTTACAGCCATGTATAAATATCATAATCTTGGATAAACAAGCGAGATAAGATGGCACGTGCGAAAGGTACTGGCAGTTTGTGTAAACAATGCTTCATTATTGCGGCGAGCGATACAGGCTAATCGGGGACAGGGAACGGGGACTACAGTGCGACCAGAAACTTCATTATACGCCTTTTGTATAAGGAGCCATAAATGAACAATTAAGCGTTTGGAGTTTATTTCAGGAACTATCCTGTCCACCTACTAACTTGTGGTATTGCTCCAAATATGCATTTAAGGAGGTCCCAGCCAGGAAACATGTTATATTGACTGATATTTTTCGTGGCATTACTCAGTCTCTCGGACATTTAATGCCTTAAAATAAGAGATACCTTCCTGGTATTAAATATCACCATCATCAAATTAGGCCAAAACCGCTTCCTCTCACATCCTTTCCATTTCATTATTCACCACTACTGAATAAAGCGTCGTTAAATAAACTGTAAATAAATAAATCATGAAAGCCACAGGCTTGTTACTCTGCAGTTCACGAACCTATCTACACCTGGTGGGTCAGACAAGACTAAGGAATATAGACGCTCATAAAATGTACATATGTTCGTTACAGTGAGGTTATTTTTGTAAGCGCTCCTCAAGATACTGAAATAAAACCGTGGACAGGCGAAAGCGCGTATACCGAGTCTTCTGCAGTTCTTCAGTTGTCGGTAAATCGTCATTGACCTATCTATCAGTGATACAGAGGACTGACCCACGAGCGACGTTCTGCTTCTTGCATCTTTTGTGTTAAAGTGTTGTTCCCAGAAGGGAACACGCGGTCCTCCAAGCGAAACTCCCCAACTAAAAAACTGCTTCAGCTTACATAATTCACGCAAGATGATTCATGCACAGCGGATTTGCACGAGTGCCTTTCCATTCACCTGGTTACGACTGACTTCAAACTTTGTCTCCTGGCAAAATGATATTTTAACAATACTGAATCCGATCCTTAATCTTCATGAACGCTGCTAGTTGCATATCTGCTCTGTTTATTCTTCTGACGCTGTGGAGATTGCGTTATTTAAGAACCAGGTCCACGAATATGGAAATTATTTGTTTAAATCCGGCAATTTTATAGGCCCAAGACATTCAGATTTTACTTAGAATTTATTCATAATGATCTTGGACCGCAGAATGACCTGCTAAGCGTTCGCTAGGTTTCCCGACAGAACCGGTTATCCTCAACTGAGGCACCAATAAACGACTCAACAAGTCGTTTTTCAGTGCAAGAGTTACAATACTCAGCCTATCAAGTTATTTATCAACGCTGACTCAACTGTAGATGTTATACATAGTCGAAAAAGACAGGGAGATTAACGCTTCGTTTACTTTACATTCTTTTAAGCTGCATTGGTTACACAGAGTCAAATGGTAAGATGTACAGGCGACGCATAATTAATTAATCATCCCGTTTGAAATTACTGGATTTCTTTTATTCATTAGTTTTAAATTTAGCTATGTGAATTATTATGAACCGCTGTACTGCCCGGCAGCGTGTAGGAGTTGTTGACTTGTTTCACAAACAATTTCTCAATTCAACTGACGTAGAGAGGATTTTGCAAAAAAATTTAACAACCGAACGCCTGCAGTGAATCTTGACGCAGGACGTGCGTCTTTTCCCGTACAATATTCAGCTCGTCCAAGAACTGCAAGCAAAGGATCATGAGTAGCGCCTAGGAAACTCCCGCACTTTCTTACAGGTGATTAATTAATTATGCGTCATACTGTACACGAATGAAGAATTGGTAAGGAAATGACAGGAAACAGCGGTGGCCTGTATTAACGTCTACTACCCAAGCCTTGGGTTGAGGTGCAGAAGAAATCATCGAACCAGTGCACCGAAACGTCGGATAAGATGCGAATGGCTTAAATGTGTGGATCTGAAGACTGGCGATAGTCCTGTTAGAAGGAATCGTCCTAGGATTCGTCTGGAGGGACAGAGTACAATTAAGTACCTCAATTAGGTCAGCCATTATGTCGACCAAAATTCGAACTTGGTATTTCTATAGAGCGTTAAAGATGCACTAATCTGCTTGGACGTTGTGCAGGAACTGCTGTTGTTTGTACATAGTTTTCGAGTGGGAGAAACAGGTGAGGATTGGCGCCAGAGGATGCCGATGATGATCTAACAGTTCAGGTTAAAATTGCGAAAGATCTCTCTTCACAGAACAGACAGGCCAAATACGTCACAGCTTCCAGCACGTGGTTTCCTGTAAAGAAATTATTTTTTATGGGTTTTGACGGATTATCGGTGATTCCGCTTTGGGTTCTTCACAGTGCAAGATGGATTTATTTTCCTTCATTAGGGCTGTTCTGGTTTCTACTAATCACGCTCTTGAATGTTTATGACCAGACTCTTGTCTTCTGACTGCTTGAAAATGCACGAAGAATTGCAACAACCACCTCACTGCTCAGCCATTTGCTTCAACACCCGGCCGTCCGCTCACGAACCACACCGAAGCAGGAATTCTGTGCCTCTTGTAATGTTTCTTGAAGCCATAAGGCGTTGACAGACTTCTCCGTGGCACAAGACGCCTGTTTCATCCTCCCACAATCCGCCAGAAACCACCAGAATATTCAGTGCAGATGAGCTGACGTCACTCCCAGCCTGGCCAACAATCTTTGCGGGGAGGGGGTTCTTTGGTGACGCAATTTGAAGCTTCTACTGGTAATAATGCTGAGAATATTTTTACTTCTCACACGGGGTCTTCTGAATACGGCAATGAACCTTCAGGTTCCGTAAAAAACGATAAATTTCTTCGAAACTGTTTCTTTCTCAAGATGTACCCTGCTCCATGTGTCGATGTTTTTCGGGGTAGTAACGTTGTGTGGACTTGTAGGTAGATGTCTACGTTTTGGATGAATATCTGACTCCATCTTCAGGCTTCAACTCTGAAGATGAGTACAGTTATTAAATGCAGTAAAGTCTTTTTGAGCGATGATTCCCATCGATAGGAATTAACTCCGACGTTTCGGACATTTTCTCCGAAAAATAGGATTTTACTCTGTATCGACCTGATAGATCGCCGCATCGTATTAATTATTTGAACATCAAGTACAATATGGACCAGATTACATTCTCAACCGTTTTTCGATATGGTAAATATTCAGGCCTGACGAAGTACAAAATGCAGGAATATATCTGCAGTGCGACTGGCTTTACAACTCTGGATTTATTTTTGCATTAATGGTCGTCAGTGCCAACGAGACATGCGAAATGACAAAAGGACGCATTAGCTAAACAAGTCCTATACCCGACTCCAAATTGGAGTACATCTTTTCACTGTTCATCACGAAGATACCGGTGGGAATTTGTCAGCGTTCTCCAGCACCTGCTGGTGGCTGGAGACTGTGAGTCCGACTATCCACACGAGATAAGCGGTGCGAAGGGAAGCACTCACCTTCAGTATCTACAGGCGCCAGGGATTTAGGGCGTTGCACAGTAGCATTGACCTTTACCGCTTCCTGTACATTAAGGTGGGCGGGAGAAGATAATGTCTGCTCCATTGACAGATTGCATTTTAGAGTGGCAGACCGAGCTGCAGTCGCTGGAAATTAAACGATCCATCACTCGATTCCGAAATATTATTTACTTCCGTTTCCAGCTTAAAGGAATATCCTGCAGGCTAAGTTATTGGATGTAGTGCACTGAGCCCCCCCCCCCAACCTCCATTGCGCACAATGGCAAATTATATGACCTTTGAAAAGGGTGGTACACACATTTCTTGCACCGTGTTGTGAAACGTCGTGCTGATTCGGATTTGCCCCGATGTTCCACCTTAATTTTACGTTCCTTCTCCATAATGTCCTGTCCGGCAAACGATATAGCAGCAGAACACGAAGGACAACTTAAGATATACGGAAACCCGTCCCTATACAATCAGAGTAAGACCAAAACACGGGTTTTTAAGAATAACGGATTTTTATGACTTCTCTACAGGGGAATTTAACTAAAGTCTGTCGATACATCTCAATTTTAGTTGATTCGGTAAACTGTGACGTTCACTTTGCACCAAGTCTTGCGTCTTTACTGTGCGCGAAGTGACTAGGTTTACATGTCTTGATCCACATTACCAGGGCCCTGATTACGATAGATGTTAGTTACCCATGTGTGTTCTAGTAAGGGGCCTATTTAGTTCAAACGTTGCTTAGAGTTACCATGAGACTACCCCAGATTTAGGGTAAAAAGTATAAGCGCTGAAAAGTAAATATCATTTTTGTTCCTTGCAGCATCAAAATCCACGCCGAGTACAACCAGGCTCCATTCAGAACGTGACGGAATAGGACGAAGACTGCAGACTACAGTAATGCATTGCTCTGTCGCATCGCAACACAATTAGGTAAGTTGGCCAGTCTGTGTAATTTCGTACTACTGACCCTTTGCAATAGCGTCAAGGTGAAGTTCACAGCCTTCTAGGATGTTACGTCGTGCACTCTCATAGAAATCTACCGACGTTTCAGAGGTGCTTATTGCCTCCATCATAAAGGGGTTCGGGTTTGTTTGTTATACCATTATTGTATTCAAAACAACAAATTTATCAAAAAAATAATATGTTGAAGAAATTCAGGGAAGTGAGATTTTCCGCTAATTTCCATTAATGTCCATGTTAAAAATCTAATTGTTCCCATGTCATACTAAAAACAAATACAGGTGTCCTTAAATTAGCGAACGATTTGAATGATGTGTAATTATTTATTTATAACACGCGAAAAACATATGGGTTTCAAAACAGTCTCACAACATTTAATTTCTTTCCACACGGTATACACATCAAACTAATTTTAGTACTTTTATTTTTTTTATCAATAAGTCGTACGCTTTTGTATTAAGGTCACTAAATGGCAACGCCTACAAACCAATGAAGTTAATTGTGGTACTGTTAAAAATTAAAACGCGTCAGAAGATTGCCTTCGCCTTCAGACGCGTCATTAACATTGCAGATGCTTCGTGAAACACATCGCCAGTAAATCAGGCAACAGACATGCACGCCTCTTTCTGGAAAGTGGCAACAGATAGGTGAGATGATAACAGGGTAGTGACAGCCCCTCGAGATAAGAAGACCGGAGCTTCTGGAGTCGGAGTATTCATCGTAAGAATCTGTGCATGTGTACGCAGAAACCCGACAGGGCCCCATATCGGTTTCCGTTCAAGCATGAAAGTCGGGTACGGTCCAAAGTCTAGATGCGGGAAAACTATTTGGCACGTGAGCAACCACTGCGAGCGGCTCGTATCGGGCACAAACTGCAAAAAGTTCCTTTAAGTTTTAGTTCTGGATGGCAGTTGAAATTCTGCAGTCGAATCCTTTCCTAGAATTGTGACGTAACCCACACGCCTACTTGTTTGCGCATATCTATACGGGCCAGACTGCTTTGAAATTCAAAGTAAACTGGATTTGGTGGAGAAACTATTTTCAAAGGCACATGGACCTCAAAGACGTATACAAAATGAATTCGTTTATAAGTTAAAGACGCTGTTTTAACTGAAAAGGCGACTGAATTATTTAATAACGCTTCTTGAACTGCCTACATTTGCATTCAGCAATGTGACCTGCTTTAAGATAAGGGTGTTCTGAAGGGACTGAGGAAAACCTGGCAGGATAACCGGCTTCTGCGTCGTAGTATCAAAACTCTGTTTGAAAGCGAAAGTAAGCTGACAAGTCTTTTTCTTCAGTCTGCGTGTGCTAGCAAACGCCAACATACAAAGTGGGGTCTGTAGTAATTACCGCGCACAGCCACTGTGAAATCCTGCCCAGTAGCCGATCAGCAGGCGGACAATAATCGAATCTTGACTTGAAGTTTCCACAGAAACTAACTGCGGGCCTGAAGCCAAGGTTTGTGCAAAATTGTACAGGTAGCACATTTGGGAAACGCCACAATTTAGTCACACGAGGAACACTCCCATCGTTAGTTTAATATGTGCTTGCTCAAAGGAATCCGTTACAGGCTTACAGTGTATCGTTAGAACAGATGTTTACTTACAAAGTTCAGCCTAATCTGCCTGACGAGAGATATCAGTTTATAAAAATTTCTGTTAAATTCTACCCCTGAAGAAGTCTCTAAAATCACAAGAGCCCACCAACAATCCCTATCCTGAGCCAGATTAATCCAATCCACATGATACTAAGTTTATTTAAAGATAAATTGTAATCTTCCCATCTCCGTTTGGTTGGACAGCCTGAAAGGGAAGAGGCCACTCGGACGTTCTAGACATTGATGGAATAATAATACCGGCATTAGAATGGAAATAGGATATGGACCAGTGGCGGGCTCTTGTGGACACGGTAACGAACATTGGTCTTGTATGAAAGGCGGAAAATTTCTTGATCAGCTGAACGTAAATCTGATAAAAGTATTTTTCTCCAGGGAATTGTAATACAACTCTGAGTCCAAATATACTCTTCTGATCGCCTTACTGCAGGCAATGTTTTTCTTGGTGGAAGCATATTCGCTCTATATGTAGTGACCGGAAAAACTCCGAAACACAGGAAATTTGAACGGAAAGTCCTCCAGCTGTGAGAGAGTCGACGTATTCCTAGTCCGAGCACAAAACTTACTTATCTTTACCCTTATTAAACCCGAAGAAGCTTTTCGTGCAAGTAGCAGAGTGTGTGGGGTGATGGAAGTGAGGGCAGGGGCCTGCGAGTCTTAAAACTGTTTGCTCGCTGCACCTTGTTTGATGACTTGTTCCTACACGGGACGCGTCCCAATGTATACACTAACTCCGCCTCGGCTATGTTTGACCAACTTATGAAGTGCCTAGTACCGCTCCGTTGTAAAGAAAGGCGTAAACATCCAGCCGTGTTTTACGGACCAATTCTTACGAGGGGGCCCGGCACGAGCCTTCTAGAGTGCTGCTGAGTAGGAGTGGACCATAATGGTTTCAATACAGGATGTCCCAAAAAGATACAAGCACATCAGCAATTTTGGCAGCCGCTTGTCTGTCGCTCACCGCTGTCAACGGCGCCACGAAGCTGACGGTGGTCATTTTGAACACCCACAATGGATTCGCTAATTCACTAAGTGCCAATGCTGACGCACATAATGGTTTAGTTTATTAAAATGCCTTTTATACCTTTCATTGAATGTGTGTTTATGTCTTTTTGGCACACTCTGTACTTGCACAGTACACAAATTGCCTGTGAATGGCAACGCCTTATATGGCATCTAACGGAACACCTAAGCTTTCTGAAGCTTCGTCTCCCGATTGCCGTACCCTATTTTCTGTTTTGTTTCTGTCTTTCTGTTTTCTCTCTTCTTACATCGTCGTCCTACACTTTTACTTCAAGGCTCGTTGAGATGTCACTAACTGCACCCTCCTTTCCCCTTTCAGCTGGGCCTCTCACGACGTTGTCAATCTTTGGAACATACGTGCATGTCTCCTCTTCCTTGTCTGTTTCTTTGTTTTCACATTTCATTTACCTCTTCCTCCCGAATTTCTTTGTTTCCTTCTTTTGTTTATTTTCCTCATTGCTTCATTCATTCATTTATTTTTATTTATTTTGTGTTACTTTCTTCCGTTATATCATAC